TATGCATTTTCTTTAATTTTTTCATGTATGCACGTTTTACTCTATCCCCATAAATTGAAAACTCTTTGAGATTATGCCATTTGATAATATATATCTTTATATTCACCATCATTAATATGTAGTAAAATATTAGGTATATAAAAGCCAGTACTTTTGAATTTATTAATTGTTACTAGGTGGCTAGTATGTACAGATACTTTACTTACCTCATTTAATTCTTAAAGAGACTTTTATGGAATTTTTTTAATTGACTTATTATGCATACAAGAACTGGGTAGGCCAGAGGTAAAAGGGTGACAGGACTCATCAGAGACAGAATGAGAGCAAACTAGGCAGATCTACCGAAAGACACTGCTGAGGGGAGCAGTGGGCAAGACAGGAGCGGTCTGGACCATGTAGGTTAGCTCTCTAGACAGGAGCGGTCTGGACCATGTAGGTTAGCTCTCTGGCCAAGGATCCAACTTGTGCTACAAGGGCTAGCAATAGCTTGATAGAACTGACTTTAATCCCTGGACCACCAGGGAGGCCCTCCAGAACATTTTAAAAACTGCTTTAAGAGGTTAAGAATTTCCCCTAAAGTTATACAAATTGAAAAACCTAGTTAATTCAAGGTTAGGTCAAAAATAATGCGTTTTTCACTTACTCTATTGCCTCCCTGTAATTTTCCATCCTGACTGTAACGTTTGTACATTTTCTCCCTATGCCTGCCAATTCACGGTCGAATATATAGTATCCAGAGAAATTAATGATATACTGAATTAAAAGAAAAAAATATTTCGTGTCCTCAGAATTCCTTAAGAGAAGCAATTACATTTTAGTGTTTTAAATGAGAGATTAAAATGTATATTCTCTGTGCATAAGCATAAGTAAAGAAAATTCACTTTAATCTATGCAGTCCACTTAATCTATAGCTGGATTAAGAGAAGCAATTACATTTTAGTGTTTTAAATGAGAGAATAAAATGTATATTCTCTGTGCATAAGCATAAGTAAAGAAAATTCACTTTAATCTATGCAGTCCAATTAATCTATAGCTGGATTAATTATATTAACTCATGGAGCTTAGTTCAATTCAAATATACAGATTTTTTTAAAGGTTATTACAGAAAGATACATTTTGAAAAACTAAGTTAACCTTCCTTTGAAAGTGAGGGTTTGTGAGAATGTTAAGTTGGTTTGTGGGACTTGATATATAATGGGTCTATGTAACCACATAAGGCTCAGAATCTAGAATCTCCATGTTCTTTGATCTTATTTTTCTAAAGAACATTTTTTTACTTCATCTTTTTCAAACATAAAATAAAGCTTACTTGTAGTTAATTTGCTAAATTCTTACTTGAAATACTTTTAGATTTACAGAATATTTGTAAAGATAGTATAAAATGTACTTATTTACCTTTACTCTAGCTTCCACTAATGTTACCCTCTTTTACAACCATGGTATGGCTATGAAAACTAAGAAATTAACATTGATAGATGCTATTAATTATATTCTACAGAGTCTGTATTTAATTAATGTCCCTTTTCTCTTTCAGATTTATTCCAGAACATTACATTACATTATTGCATTTAGTAGCTGCATTTCCTTAGTCTCTTCCAATCAGTTATAGTTTCTTGATCGTGGCATTTTTGAAGAATAGTGATGAGGCAGCTTATAAAATATCCCTCGATTTGATTTGTCTAAAGTTTTCCAGAATTATATTGAATTTACAAATTTGGAGGAACAACATTCCAAGGAGGTATGTCCTCATCACATATCATATCATGAGCACCTGACATCAATATGTATTATTGATGGTGTTAAGTTTGATTAATAATCATGCTTATTATTACTACTATTCATAAGGTAATTCATAAGAAGATTAATGCTACTATAGTGTTAGAGCCACACTTAAGTAATCAAAACTATATTTTATCTAATGATTTAATGTTCCTTAAGAGTTAAGTGCTTTATATGGGACTCTTTTTTTTTTTTAAATACACAACTCATAAGTAAGGTGTAAGATTTGGGACCCCAAAATCTAAGTACAAATCCTATATCCACCATGTACTGGCTTTAAGTCACATCACTATTATAAGCCTCAATTCTTTTACCTGAAAAAATGGAAATAATTATCATATTTACCTCACAGAGTTGTTGTAAAGATTTTAAAATGCATACTTTATACTTTATAAACATAAAATTATGCAAATATTAATTGCTGCTACTATACTTAAACTTTTGAGTTGCTTGCTGGCCATTCTTATTTTACAAAAAGATTTCCTAAGTTGTATGAGTACAAATATGAAAAAAGGAGCTGAATCTTAGAAGTGAAATGCTGATGCCACTACCAAAATCCCTTGGATCTACCCATCTGTTCTTCACCTCTGTTGGATCTATAAACACAGGAAAGAGGAAGACTTTGAGACAAGGTAAAGAAATTATAAACACCAAATATACATTATCATAAGTTGATCATTCAGAAACTCTACATACTTAAGTCAATGAGAGAAAAGCACAAGTGATTTGATTAAATTGTATTTCTATAAGCCCTTTAACTCAGTGTTAAATGTTGGAAAAGAAAAAGATCTCCATGCCTGTTGTACTTAGTGTTCAACTATACTCTTGATCTTAGCCAAAGGCCAAGACGCGATAGTATTTTACTACAAAGTTCCTATTTCAGTATTTGAGAGATGTCATTACTAAGCTGAAAGAAAAACCACTACTTTCAATATAGTTTAAGTGCTGCTTAGTTATGAATCTTTCTTGTACACTGTGCTAGAATGTAATGTAATGCTAAGGGCAGACTCATCTTTGGATCTACTTCAGTGAATTAGCACTTAGAAAATATTAGATTTTCATTAGGGGTATTTGTTAGTGTGTGGTTGTGTATTCTGAACTAAGACTATATCCTCTGTGCTGCCACTTCTGCTTTATACAAACTAAGCATATGCTTTTGGACACCAGCAAAGTCAGGGCAACAAAAAAACTTCCTAAAGAATTTAAAATTTCAGCAAAAGTACTTAAGTAATCATGATAGGGAAAATCTGAACTTTATTGGGCTTCTTTAGACTTATTTTCAATTTTGTATTATTTTAATTTATATATTAGATGGGATGGAAGCACATCAAAATCTTTTCAGTGCTTAAGTGCTCCAGAAATTTTAATACAGATCTGTGTGCTTCTTAAATTATCATAAATTTCATTTACATTATTCATCAATGTTATAGAGGTTTTATGGTTGGATTCAATTATTCATCAAAAAATACTTTGTTTCATAAAAATTATAACACATGTATACATACACTTTACATAAAACAGTTCAAGATTCTTCTTCAGTATAGTATCTCTTCATACCAAGAAACCATAATAAATGCTAGAAAGCCTGTCTCATAAATTGGACTAATGCCAGTATCTTTTATCAGTCAACAGTGCTACTCTAGCATGCCCTCCAGCTACACTAAAAGATTACACAGTAAGTTCCCAGAATAATCAAAAGTAAATTATACCACTTAGGGTACTTACTAGTATAATGGAATCCTAAAAATTCTATATGCTGTCTAAATATATGTACAAAAGGCAGGAATTAATTTCTTGTGTTGTGGTTCACACTGGATTCACAGTTCCTTTAACATGTGCAATGTCTAAAAAAAAATCCTCAAGAATTCAGCTATATTGCCAGATTTTTGTCAGGTTCATTCTTCTTCAACTTACCAGCCAATGTGTTGCTAGATGATTATCCAGATGTTTCTAGTGTATTTCGTTGTTAGTGTCCCAGTAGACTTCAAGGAGCTGGGCCCAGATGTTGCTTGAGGAGTTGCTTGCTAGAGGACAGTCCTACTTAGACCTCTTGTCATTTTTTGGTTTGGTTTCATTTTGACTATTGGGTGCATCATGGAACCTGTTAGCATTTTTAAGAGTAAAATATATAAAGCTGCAGTAAATGTCACACAAGTAAAAGGGGAAGATAAAAGTGGAGAGAAGTAGTATCTGGGGTGATTGAAACAAACGATTAAAAAACTATCACTTTATATTTAGATCACCCCTTTCCACCAACACCCCCCCAAAAGCCCCCAGTAATTAATAGAGAAGTTTGGCAATAAAGAAATAGCCTGATTACAAAATCCTCCCCAAGACTTATTTTAAATTTTGCTTTAGAGTTAATTGCTTTTCTTCTTTCCCCCCAAAGAAATGGAGTATTTCACTTTGGAGTTCCTGGAATAGTAAGGCTTCAGGATTATGACTGCATACCTACACCATGTCCTTAAGTTTTCCTTTTAAAACTGTCTGTAAAGACTAGCTTTTCCTGAGCCCTGTTGCTGTCAGCTCCCATCTCTCCCTCCACCCCATGACCATCACTGCCCTCCGTGGCCCTCAGCGTTCATCTGGCAGGTGCTAGGCAGAGGCCCGGGGCTGAGCGAAGGAGGCCGAGTTTTCACTGCGCGCGCCCCAGAGGAGGCGGTAACCCTAGGCCTGGCGGCCCGAACTTCGAGAGACCGACAGGGGAGCGTAGCTGCGGCCGGCCTGCCCCGCCGGGACCGGTGGAGAACTCGCTTCGCGCCAGTTCTCACAGTGCCTTCCAGCACCCCCGCGCCGCGGAGTTTTTAAGGCCCTGAGGCTCGTTGCATCCTTCAAGCACCGGCCTCTTTCCTCCCCACGCTCGCCCCCGCCAGGTTTCACACTGCACACTCTATCCCGCCCGCCAGCCGGAGGAGGCCGAGCCGGGCTCCGCGGAGCTAAACGCCGCTCCAGCTGGGGCCTGGCCGCGGGGCTGGTGGGTGGAAGCCGGAGCGAGAGACCGAGAGAAGGAGGCGGAGAGCCTGGAGGCGGGAGGAAAGGGCGCGGAGTCGGGGGGCGGAGCGAGCCGGGCGGCGAGCACTAGCGCCACCAGGGCGGGGGGCGGGGCGTGGGCGGCGCCCGGCCTTCCCGCTCCCGCGGAGCTGCAACTCCGCGGAGCCTCCTTAAAACTCTGCCGTTAAAATGGGGGCGGGTTTTTCAACTCAAAAAGCGCTCAATTTTTTTCTTTTCAAAAAAAGCTGATGAGGTCGGAAAAAAGGGAGAAGGAACCGGCACCGTCTTTGCAGCGGCAACAGAAGCAGCAATTGTTTGGGCGAAAAAAGAAGCGAGAGAGGGAAAGAAGGAAAAGAGCAGAAAGAGGGGACGACGCGCAACTGTCTGTGGGGGTGAAGGGAGCCCAGACCGGCGATTTGAGGGGGACCAGCTACAAAAGAAACTGTCATTGGGATCGCTGCGCCGGGAAGGAAGCAGCGCTGCCCAGCTCAGCTCCCGGGCTCTGAAGACTGGCGGCCGCTGCCCTGTAGGCGTCACAGTCTGGGGGCACAGGCCGGGGGGCCGGGAGACGTTGGCAAAGTGGCACCGGACGCCAAGCTGCCGGGCTCTCGCCGAGAGGAAGGCGGGACTGGCTGCGCCCGGGGATCGTAGCAGCTCCCCAAACTCAGAGCTTGGCCTGCGCATCCCAGGATCACCCAGATCGCTGGAGAGCCCCCCAGAAAACCGGGAAAGGAAGGAAAAAACAGCGACGGCAGTTCCATGAGCGTCTACAGTAGGAAATCTGGACTGGCTTGGTCCTAGGCGGGAAGTTACCGGTGGGCTGCCCAGTGCAGCCGTGATGCTGCGGCCAGCTGCCCCAGCAATCCCGGCCCCTTAGACGCTTCCCGCAGCGTTCTCCCGCTTCCACCCGCTGCTGAGAGTCCCGGGACCCGGTGGGGCCGGCATGACCGGCTTGCCGAGGGCCCGCCGAGCGCCCGGCCGTCTCCGGAGCCGCGAGCGGAGCCTGGCTCCCACGGCCTCTGAGGCTCGGCGGGGCTGCGGCAGGCGGGCGGGCGGGCTCCGGCACCTTCCCGCGCGGCGTTAGCCCGCGGCTGGGCCGGGACGCAACTGCAGGCTCCTCCAAGAGAAGCCGAGGCCACCAAGGAGTCGTGAAGACCTGTAACTTGCGGGCCACGGAACTGCTACTCCTGTTTGCCTTCTGAGATCTTCTTTAACTCTCCGGAGCACGTCAGCATCCAGCCATCGCGGCGCTCTCCCGGTAGCGGAGGACTCAGGACTACCCCTTTCGGCGAGACGGATGGAGACCGAGCCCCTCCGAGGACCTGCCCCTCCAGTTTTGGCTCTCGCGGCTCATGTCACCACCGTGAACAAGGGTGGGTTAATGCCTTTTCTTCTCCACCCCCCCCGACCCCCCAGTGTCTTTTCTTTTGCGGTGTTTTCTGCGCTGATGTAGTCCCTTAAGTCTCTGCACACTCCTCACAGATCTGAAGTGTAGGTAGGTGTCAACTCTGCCTACATTTTAAGTCCAGAGTCATTTGCCAGGAATATATGCGTGTTTCGGTGTCTCTCTGTTAATCACTAGAAATCTTCATAGGGGTTAAGCTAAAAAGCGAGGAGCGGAGCCCCTCTCCAATGGCTCGGTTTTGCTGAATAATCACGTGTGAACCGAGGGGGCGGGCTTTTGGCAGGCAGATCTTACTAGTATTTACTACCAAGCTCTACTCCAGATTAACCATCCCAGTCCTTCTGTCAGTCTCCGATGCCATCATGCAGCCTGGTTAGGAGGAAAGGAAAGGGGAAAAAGAAAAACAACTAATTCATCTTTTCCCGATCGTCAGGACCCTAAAGAATGGCCGAGCCTTGGGGGAACGAGTTGGCGTCCGCAGCTGCCAGGGGGGACCTAGAGCAACTCAATAGTTTGTTGCAAAATAATGTAAACGTCAATGCACAAAATGGATTTGGAAGGACTGCGCTGCAGGTTGGTATCCAGAGAGGTGGGGAAAACAGGTCAACAATGTTGCCTACGTGACCTAGATTTCTAGAATAACAGCTTTTAAGCTTTTAGGGGTACAAAATTGCACTGTCTTTCAATCTAGTTGGTTGCCATATTTTATATCTTTAAGTGGATCCAACTCCCAAAAATGACGTACTTTGTGTGAACTCGTCAAATCCACTAACATCCTTGATATCAAGTGAGTTCCAGGTTTGGTCTTAATTTTTGGAATGTTTTTGTGACGGTGGGGTTGTTTAAGTAGCCTTAGCAGCGCCGAGTTTTGTTTTGTTTTGTATTTTGCAGACAGCTCTGTAAACACATTATTATGATTATTATTTGAAGTAAACCCACTACTATTAGTGGTTTCCGTACTTTGCTTCAATAATTGACTTTAACGTTAATTTTCTTGACTACTGGTGAGGGTGTTTTTCCTTCAAATGCTTCAAGTTTTGACAAACGACCTTTCCTTGTTTGGAATGGGTGGCCTGGGCACGGGGACAGGATGTACATTTCACAGTTAATGTAATACCATCCACCCATTCAAGACTGAGGAGGAATAAAAAGTTGAATTTTTTAATCAGAGCTCAGCTCGTAGTGTTTTTGTCTCTGCGGTCATGCCGTGGTATGTTCTAATTTTCAGTAATTAGATTTACAAGCAACAAATGAAACAATAACCAGCTGCCAAGTATTCTACCTGATAAAGTTTTCCTCCTCTAAATGTTATCATGTAACTAGTTTAAATACTTAGAAACAGAAAAATGTCAAAATAGTCTCAAATGGTTGCCTTATTAGAGTTCTGATGATATTCTTAGGAACTATTATTTAGAAGTGCAATTCTGGCAGTTGTTTCAGAAAATCCATTAGGGAGAGGGGTTTTGGGTGTGCTTTGTTTTGTTGCAAGAATTAGAAAATTAAGTGACAGAGAAATACTACTAACAGAAGATGTCCATAAAGTCTGTACATTTTAAATCAAAATATACTGACCTTGCAAAAATTTCAGAATTCAGGAAGCTTATAAATACTAAATAGATACTAAATTATTTATCTTCAGGTGGTTTAAGTAGGGAAGTTTTTTTCTTCTTTTTTCCACATAGTAGTTTTTAACAGGTTTGGTGATGATAGTAAAGCCACAAATTTAATATATTGAAAAGTTTCCTGTTGAAAACTCAAAATATTATATGAATCTCACTAAGAATGGACTAGCTAACCCATGTTCAGTATGACGTTACTGGACTTTTGACGAACAGGAAGATTGAGAGATTAGTACTGGAAAAATTTTTTGACATTTTTAATACAATTCTGCAACCTTGTTTATATGAAACACACTTAACCAAGATACTAACACCCAATTATTGTGGCTTAGTCCTAGCACATGTAGTGAAACACAAACAGTAGTCTCAAGGCTTATTTTCAGTATGTATACTCCTGACTCTGAAATTTGTCATAACACAAGAACTTTCTTCAAAACAGTTTCCAATATTACTATTATTTTCGGTGAAAGATGACAAAATTTATTCTGTAATTATATTTATTTAACTCAGTTGCAAAAACCTTCCCCACTTTTCTAGTGTAAGCTTTTTAATCAGGATAATACCAGAGGCCTTAATCGTGCAAAAGCTTTACAAGGATCCAAGGTGTCTGATGCTTATTTTTCCTATTCTAGGTCGTCAATGTGTTTAAATCTTTGGAGGCAGTTGTGGCAAAAATGATTGTAGATTGTGTTAATTTGTAATAACCAAAAAGTATGTTTCATTTAAGTTCTTGAAAAATAAACTATGTTATCATTTTTATCACTACCCTAAAGGAAGAACTAAAAGTCAGCAGGGTTTTATCAACAGGGAAGCTTAGTATCTCATTAATCTATATAGTTTGCATTTACAAAATATTCATTGTAAGTGTATTTTACTATGTTTCTTAGTCATTTTTAAAAAACAAAAATTTGAAAGAAATGGATAAACATTGTATATATTTTTCAATGGCTTATCACTTAGTTTCACAAATATTGAGCGTCTACTATGTAACCTATTTATTATAAATTTGGATTATTATGAATATGCCTAAATATAAATGAAACCATTTAAAATGCTGAAATTTTCTGAAATGTTATTAAGACTATAATTTTGATGGCTAAATGATATGCACCTCATAATTTCATGCTGTTCTACAAAATATTTTGTAATTATGAGACCCTAATAGAGACTTACTAGAGTGAAATATGTTCAAATAACAGTGGCTAAGTCTTTGCCATGTGAATTATCTGTATGTTGATAGTGATTCTTAATACCACATTCTGGCCTTTAAAATTTTGGCAGTTTACAAATAGCTATTCCTAAATGCCTGATACTAACTGCAAAAGGAAGTAAGATGAGATCATCAATTGATTATTAAATGGGCTCAAAACACAAGTCAAAGCTTCGATGTTCCAAAATACCATTAAGTGTCATATTTTCTCTTTTTTGCTTATTTGAAAATCAGAAAGCTAGCTAGAACTTTAAGAATAACATAATAGGATGACTGCTTCATTCTTTGTGAGAATAACTGCTGTGCAATCATTCCTATTTAATATACAGCATATTGTAAACTTAGTTTACATCAGAAATGCAGAACACTGTTGTTGCTTACTTAACACCTTAATAATCAGTACATTTTAAAATTTCAAGTGAAGGAGTCTAAACACTGAATTGACCAAGTAGCGAATATGAAATAACTTGCAAAGAAAAAAAATTAACAAAACATTTGGGAATTTGGAGCTATACCTACTCAGAGAACTTGTGAGAATTAACAGTTTAAGAAAATATTAGGTCTAGATTTTTGATCTTTTTAATACAGGTGATGGAGTCTGATGTGTGGGACACTTCTTTGGGGATTTAAAGAAACTCATTGTTTCTCCTATTTCTTTTCAGTATCTTTGTAGGAAATAAATATTACCCACATCTGAATTTCCAAAATTAATAAAATGTTCATGAACACTTTATGTGCACGAACAAGCAAACAGAAGGAGACTTGTTTAAAATCTTAAATTCCGTTTCTTTTAATATTTTCATAAAATTACACCGCTTTTCATTGGCGGTAGAGAACTAAATTGTCAGTGAATGTGACCCAAGTTGAACTAGTTCTAGTTATTGATCAACTTATCCTACTTTTTGGTTCAATTTAAGATATTCCATCATAGAACCTCAAGTTTTAGGTTTCTTCTACTTTCACACACTACTACTTTCTTTCCTAAAACTGAACTGGTCAAACACCATCATGTGGATCCTTGTCCAGCATCTCATCACCAAAACAAAAATTACATAAATTGGAGAGGTGGATATTTTAAACTATTTTTGGAGCAGGCACACTTGAAGGATTCTACCATTTTTTCCTCTTTTCTAGGTTATGAAACTCGGAAATCCCGAAATCGCCAGGAAACTACTACTGAGCGGTGCTAATCCCGATTTGAAAGACCGAACTGGTTTCGCTGTCATTCATGATGCAGCCAGAGCAGGTTTCCTGGACACTTTACAGACTTTGCTGGAGTTTCAAGCTGATGTTAACATCCAGGATAATGAAGGGAACCTGCCCTTGCATTTGGCTGCCAAAGAAGGCCACCTCCCCGTGGTTGAGTTCCTTGTGAAGCACACGGCCAGCAACGTGGGGCATCGGAACCATAAGGGGGATACCGCCTGTGACTTGGCCAGGCTGTACAGGAGGAACGAGGTCGTTAGTTTGATGGAGGGAAACCGGGCAGAGGGAGCTACGAATCTGCAGTGAATGTGGGGAGGGCTCTCCCACACTGCCTAATATTTTGTCAGTCATTGATTACCTATCCTATCTTTAATATCATTTGTTAAAATTCAGTTTTGTCATATTTTAAGCATCTAGTTAAATCTTCTGAAACTGCTAAGTGGAAATCTTAACTACAGGTTTATGACTATATTTAAGCGACATTATTTTCACCAGCAAAATCCTGAGTTCTAACATGTAATTGCGAATAGTTTTTGGCTTTCTTCTGAATATTTTATCGTTTCTTGACTTTTTTTCTTCTTTCTCCCTTTGCCAGTCTCAGTACCCAACTTGGAGACTTTGTTTTTCAAATGGTTTGTCCTGATGTTTCTTTTGCCTAATTAAAACACTTTTTAAAACAGGACAATGTTTTTCTGTGATCTCCATGCCTCTATTACCCTCCATACAACTTACCATCTGCTAGGGAAAACCATACTAAAAGTTCATGTTTTAAGCCTTGACATTAGAAAAACAGACCAACTACAACAGTAGATATAGTCAATTGATGTTTCAGTTATCTTTTTCTTCTTCTCATGCCTCTCCATAGAGATTTTACTTGGTGACGAGCATGCATGCTTAAACAAATTTTTTTGAAGATAAAATTTGAAATTATTTCAGTGAATTTATCCTAATGTTTAATCTTACCTTTTTTCTCAAAACTGAATAGCTGAAAGGCAGATTTCAGTAAGTAAAACTATGAAAATATCTATTTTGCTCTAAAAGCCACTTTTAACAAAAACACCACCTTAACATTGCTTCCCAATAGTTGATTTGAAAAAAAAAAAACTCAAACTGAAACACTTGTTTATATACCTCAAAGTTTCTCAAAGTATAATACTTTTTCCCCTAAATACTAGAAATGTAAAAATACAGAGTCCTAAGTATTAAAGTATAATGCAAATATCACTTATCCCCTAAAAGAAAAAAACTTATCCCCTAAAAGAAAAAAAATCTATGAATGGCATGTATTTTTATGAGAAGTTATGCCAAGGGTCATAACTAATTTAAGGACCACAGCATAGTAAGTATAGACGCCTTTATAGTAAATAGGTCACTCCTCATCTAGTATTTGATAACCACAAAACTTTTTTTAGTAAAGGCATATAAAATATTTTAGAGAATGTTTAGCCAAAAATTTTAAAAATTAAATGAAATAGAAATGTTAAATTAACAAGAGCTTTTTTCTAGCGTCTACTTACTCTGTCATTTTAATTAGAGATTTCACCAAAGAATTTCAATGCAGTTACTACTTACAGATTTATAAATACTTTAATCATTTCCCACAGGATCAAAAATATTTTAGGTGAAAGTTCCCTCTTATAATTCATAAACTCTCTGCACTCGCTCCAAAAAAGAACAAAATACTTAAAGGTTTTACTGGAGGCATTGTTCTGGTGCCTGCCCTAACAAGGATTGAAATGATTGCAGGTCAGTGGTTTTCAGTAATTTATTTTCTGTGATAGTATAAAAAAAGGAGAAAATATTTAACTCTTTTAATATGACACTAAAGTTCACCTTCCCTAAATTAAATGCAACAAGGCTTCAATTTTGGCCAGCTCTAACCACAAATTACTGAATATATTTTTGAAAGCAACACGGAATTAAATTTAGAACACTTTAAATTAGAAAAGAGTGGAAGCTAAGATGGTTTTAAAGGGAAAAGTGGTGTATTAAGGATTTAAAAACTAGAATTCATATACAGACTGCACTGCTTGAGTAAGCTAAATATTTTCTAAATACAAAACTGTTAATGAAAATAAAAACAACCCTTGTTACAAGTAAACAAATGTAAAGATGGACGGTTATGAATTTCAAGTAAGATAATGAACCTTTCAGTATCCATCAAGTGAACATTAAAATTACTCTTTAGAGATTTCAAGTATAAAGGCATAGGACGTTTATAAAGCTAAAGAGAAATACTTCTGCAGTTGCTTTGTTCTCAAATGGTCGAACACAATAAAAGGAGAAGGAACTCCATCTCTCTTCATCAGAGTAAAATTTGCTAGGTATTAAAACATCTCTGGCTCTTCGCAGGAAATAACTTTGCTAATCTAAGTATTTTAGAAATGAGTTATGTGGTCCCCTCTAGGAAACATGAAAAACCATTATTCAATCTCTCAAAAACCTCGACAAATGTTCAGTGAGACACTTGAAAATGAGGAAATGTATGGGATGGAATTAATGGTGCTACTGCGTTTAATGGGGTCTAATTTGCAGAACTGAAGTGGGGAAGGAACTGAACTTACTCAGAAGCAGAATAGAGTTGCAACTGCTAATTAATGGAATGATTAGAACCCCAGGAGGTGAGGTATAGAAAGAATGGAGGACCCTAAACAGATGCGCTGGAAAATTCGGGTCTTGACAGAGTCGGTATCCCCTTTGGGAAACTCAAAAGTTCAGGATTTGCGCAGCAAAACTGATCCGGACTTCCACCTGGGCAGGGGAAAGTATTAACGGGACCTCAGTCCACGTTCTGGTCTCAAATCACTAAATAAGCTGCATTTTATATTTCAGTAGGGAATCAGTAGTTTTCTGATAAACACGCATCTCGCGCTGGTGTGATTAGCTCACACACACGCGCGCGCACACCCCACGCTGGGGACTAATAAATAGGTAAAGAATTCTTGTCCCGAGAGAGCAATTCGGTTGGTAACATTATAAATTTCCCTTCTCTTGCTGATCAAGTGAACGTTATGGAATCCGTGATCCGGGACTGGTTTCGAAATCTCAGTTCCCAAAAAGGTGCTTTCGGCTTTTGCCGGGGATGGAAGCTGCAGTCCAGAAGCGCAGGAATATCAGTGCTATTGCGAGAAAGGGTCGTGCTCGAAGCCTTCCAGACTGCCCTACGCGACCTGCATCAAAAGGTTACGGGGGCGGGGGGGGGGGAAGGGGGAGTCCCTGTCATGGACTCTTGAGACTGTTTTGATTTTACACAGCAGGTTCAAAAACGCAGGTCTACGTAGGGACCTAGTGAGAGTCAGGAGACAATCTTCCCATCAGAGACCCGGGGTAAAGCTCTGTCCCACAGCCAACCCAAGCCATCTTTTCTGTCCCCACGAAAGTCTCCAGACTCCAACCGCAGCTCCCTAGTGAGGAAGCCGAAGCCCAGAGCTCCCTCAGGGCGCGCAGAAAAGCCCGGGGTGGGGGTTGGGGAGTTTCAAAACCGTTAGCTCGCGTTTTTTTTTTTTTTTTTTTTCCTTTTCCCTCCCTCGCTAAGGTTTCTTTTCTTTTCTCTTCCTGTCCAAATATTTCAAATTTCCGCGCCTTAAATAACAGTCTCCTTTTATTTAGTTACTTTCTTCTGCAGGTTTGGCCGCCCGCTTGTCTCAGCCCCCCAGCGGGCCCAGGGCGCCTCGTTACAGCCTGCAGCCCCCGCGCGCTGCCCCCGGCCCAGCCAACCCGGCCCAGAGCGCGCAACCCGCCCCCCTCGCCGCGACCTCGCCTGACCCTGCTCTCCCCGCACCTAGAGCCAACTAAGGCCGCCTCCCGCCAGGATGCCTGACCGCCTCTCAGCTGACTTTCCTCCCGACTGTGGAACCCCTTCTGCTTTGGGGTTTGGATCCGGTCGCCCCGGTGCGGCGGAAAGGCCGCGGGGATAGACAGCAGCGGAGGAGGCCAGTGGCCGGAGCCTGCCCCAGCCCCCACCCCGTGGGTAACCTTGGAGGCGCCCTAAGAGTGAGTGTGTGCGCTGCTGCCCCAGCCGGCCGAGGCGAGCGGGAGCACCGAGCCGCGGGCAGGAGGCGGGCGCTGGGGGCGGAGAAGAGGGAGCCGGCCCTGGCGTCCCCCGGCCGCCGCCGCGCCCTGGGAGCTGCGGGCAACCGGAGCCGCCAGGGTCCCCCGGCCCTTGGCCCTGAGGGAGCGGTCCCCGAGGAGGCAGAGGCCATCCGACTGGATGGTTCCTTTGATTAATGCTTAAAGACCGGGGCCGGAGGGCGACGTGGGAGTTGGGGCAAGCGGGCGGGTGAGTGCCAGGCTCTCGGCAAAGGTGAGCTGGCGGCGGGACGCGCGCGGCGGCTGGAGCAAGTCCGTGCCCAGTTGCCTGTGCCAGCGATCCCTCCTCCACCCCCCGTGACAGCTGAGGACAGCCGGGCTCCGAGCCTCGCGTCCAACTGCGAGAAGGCAAAAGCTCCTCGGGCTTCTCAGCCTCTTAAGACTGTTCGGGAAGTCTCTCTATGGTGTTAGTTCCCTCCCTCTTCCCCCCCACTTTAATAAATGCCGGGCCTCGGGGTCTGGAAATGCAAGTTCATTCGAAAAGACCCTCAGGGTGAAAAATCGAAAACTTCAGGCCTTTAGGAAGTCTGGGTGGAGCTAGGCTCGCAAAACACCTAGAAGGGGTCTTTCTGTTTTTTTAACCCCGAACAGATCTGAAAATCGAGTGTGGATCTTCAGAGGTGTCTCAAAATAATAAAGACTCCCCAAATCTGGATACTGGATAAGGTTCCAGTAAAATATTTTGTCATCTGCTGTTGTACACTGAAAGAGCTTCAGGTGTTAGGATGTGGGTTTGGAATTTTCTGTACTGTCTGTAACCCTCAAAGGCGTTAAATAACAGAATGGTAACACAGCAGGCAAGCGAGCAAAGGTTATCCTTGCCACTGCAGCACCTGCAAAAGCATAAGTGGCACTCACATATTTTGCTTGCTCAGTTCTAAAATGGCTTCTGAACCTTACAAAGGTACCAGCGCATACAAGGAGGGGAGTGGGGGATTGGAGGAGAGGTTTTTAAAACTACACAGATATTAATTCACCTTACCTCTTTTTCCCAGCCCCATCCTTATTGGTCAAAGAATTGTAGTACAGGCCTAGTCAATAATTCTATACACAGTCTTTTTCTATTCCCTCATACCCAAAACAAAACAACAATCCAGTCTGCAAAAACATCAGTTATAGGGGCTTGGGGGTCGGTTAAAAAAAATCACTGATCCTTATCCAAATACCAGGCATTTCTTTTGAGCACTGAGAAATCCTACATATAAATGGTATAAAATACTATAAAAGAAAAAATAAGTTGATCTTTTAACATTAAAATAATTTGCCAGTTTCTACAATTGATAGGTGGAAGCCTTATAAATTTCCATTGAAATTTTTGGAGGCAATAACTTCTATTCTTTATATTTCTTCGGTAATTACCTCAAAAACTGTTAATACTTTTATCTTGACCAGATAAAACAGCATCATGCTAGCTTTATTTTACTTATATGGCTTAGTTTTTCAGATTAATTATATGAATTTTGAAAATTAACATATAAAACAAAACTGCAATATCCTTTAATATTAAATTTTAAATTTATAACCAAATCATCACAATCACATTACAGTCCACTCTGGTGTTTCTTCTAAGTGTGCAATTTTCATGAGTTGCTA